AATGAATGGAGAGGATACTTTGACATGAAATCATTCGTGTTCCTCTTCTTCCTCTTCTTCTTGTTTATATTTAAGTAATCAAAGTGCAAAGTATAATCAAATAATTTCGATACCATTCTAAGTATCTTTCTATATACGATACGTATTACGATATTTATCATATATTATAATCCACCAAATAGCTAAATATTTACACACACACACACACACAATAAATGAACATTTCAAAAATTAAAATGTATTTAGATATTATACAACTAGAATACAAAAATACATACACACATATCACACAAGCATACATCTAAAGACTATCATACGTAAAATAACCTGTAAATATTTTATTGAACTTATGTGATTCATAGATTTTTGAAAATGTTTTTTCTCTATGCTTTTTTGCTTTGTTTTTTTTTTTTGTCTTTTTTTCCCATAAATATTTCCCTGCAAATGTAAATGTAAATGTAAATGAAAGCATTTTGATATGGCGCCTTAGTGCAGTGTAGAATAAGCATTATATATATATGTATACATATATAAACCAACCAACTTTTAATTCTGTTCATTAAACTCATCGATACGATAATATGCATAAGTTTTTGTGTGCAATTCACATTGCATTGGCAACGAACGCATAGTTGTTTTCCCCATGTTTGTTTGTTTGTTTGTTTGTTTATGTATCTAAACAAATATCTCTCTGTTCTATCTGTTAATTACTCATTCGATTCGCTTGTAGTTTGTAATGTAGTTTTTGTTCTTTTTATTTATATTGTTGTTGCTGTTATTGCATTTATATCTTGTGTGCTTACGAACAAAACGAAAAATTGTTTTAAAACATGTTTATTTACATTTCAATATCGTATGATTTGTATAGTTTTCGCATTGCTATTGTATATTGAAACAACTGAAACACTAAAACTTCTGGTTGATTTGAGTTTATTTTTATATATCGTTTGCCTGCAAATTTCTGAAAATGATAACAAAGACGAGCTCTCTTACGTACGTACGTACGTACGTATATGTATGTATACACATTATTATTATTATTATTATTAATAGTAAGATGCACATAGTAGTCTTTTTGTTATTGGGAAAGTAAACAACATTTCCTATGCCAACTACTTAATATGCCATATAAGCAAGGGGTGGTCGTCTAATATAAGCTTTTTTGTTGTGCTTCTGACGACATTATTAGCTCTTCACATATAAGGTAACCTCTGTACTTGCGAAAAATTATCATTGATTATTAAGTTTTTTTTTTTTTTTCAAATTACTAAACTTATTGTGTTATGATTCCCTTAGAGATGACTCAAAATGATTTCATTGTCTTAATATTCTAAAATGTTTGGTGATAAGAACTGCCAGGTTAACTATAATTTTTTAAATTCATTAAAAGACTTTGAAGTAGGAAATGTGGTAAACGTTGACGAAGGTAATGCTCATGCTGTTGGTCGTCATAAAAGTCTATAATTCGTCGATCCTTGACTTTTTCGAACATTTCTATGTTGAGATAAATCATTTTACGTATCACTGTATAATATAAACTCGCTTGGATTCTGAGAAGACTTTTTTTTAGAAAAGAACTCGAAGAGTGAAAGGTTTATTGGGAACGTGATTGCCTGAAAAGATATGAATATGGTCCAACTCCTTATACTTGGTGATAATGTTATTGTGATGACAAAGTAACCGATATTTTAAGGAAACAAATCTTGAAAATTTAAACCAAAACCAAATGTATACATATATATTCACGGTTGACTTCTCGTCTAGTAAATCAAAAGAAATTAAATTTTTTTGAAAGGCAACGTAGGTAAAGAGAAATTTTCTATGAGTAATGATGATCTTAATTGCATAACTACAGATTCGATTTTGCTTAGTAATCCAAAAAATGCTAAATAATCAAGCCTCTAAAGTGCTAAAGATGATCCGCAATTAAAAAAACGAAAATTGATAAAAATTTCGGAAAATTTCGGAAAAGACTCTCTAAAGTAGAAACGTAAGAAAACGTACGACAGGATATTCGGACAAAATATTAATGTTGGTTGCACCCATCCATCTAGCAACAAAAACCTTACACTGATAATCATCTGCCGTTGACTCGCTGAGTATTTAAGAAGACGAAGTGGAAGAAGAAAAAATATTCGAAAGGCCTGTGTTTTAACAGAGTTGTTATGATTTTTTCTAGAGACGCTGCCGTGACATATTTCTTTTCCAATTATTGAAATATTGCATATAATTCTTTCAAACGCACAAACGATCTAAACTACTGTAGATTTAATATTATTTTAATTCATACAGACTTTAATAATTCTGGATGGTAATCTTAAAGCCGGAGATCAGTATTAAGGTGTCATTAAAAAGGCAAAGGAGATTCAAGGCTTTTTAACTCCACTTACTGTCTTATCACCAGCATTTGCTTATGGTTTAGTTTCTATTTATTTCTCCAAATTCTCTCAGGTTGATCCAAATATAATCTCTTTAGGCAAACATTACAGAATAATAGAGGAAGCGTTTACGTACATCTAAAGATACACGTGTGGCTTTTATTAGCTAGCGCGGCTTTTTTCTCCCTCTCGAGGCGATCTTTTAAAACGAAACCGCCGGCCAATAATAGTAGATGTAAGTTAAACCAGCTGAAGTTGTGTTTCTTATATATTTCGGATTTTTTTCGTAAGAACTCGTAGTGAAGTCTAAACTGAACCAGAGAAAGGTTTCAATATAGTCATCAGCAATACATAAACGCTATTGACGTCTTCTTGGTGTTTCAATCCTCCCCATTCGCACAGTTATAATCTTGTTTCTTTCAGCTACAAGAAAGTCAGCTGCGTATTTTTGAAAAGCGCTGCAAGCGTTTGTTTTAAAAGAAACACAGAACGCTTGAACGTTGCAGCAATAGAAATTTCTGTATACCGTACACCAATTACGTTGCAAGCGATATAATAAATCGGGGGATATGCACGTACAACACTAAGAGAGACTAGAAGATCCGTCCAGCTTTGTTATGGCGATGGAGATAATTATTTTTTTTGAAACTAAATTTAAGCTTGTCCCTCTGTTTGTACACGCATAGCATATGATTTCTTTACAACGATCTTTGCAAGAGCTGCCTAATGTCCTCAACAAAACAATTCGTAAATAGAGGCTTTTTAGTCTTGCGATGTTGTTTAAAATTTTGTTATAGTATTCGGATGACTTCGATACTCATCTCTTACAAACGAAAGAAGAACCCCGAACACCCGATTATAATGTAATCACGGATCAGATTTTAATAATGATTTGAGATAAAAGCATAGGAAGCGTGTGTTCTTGACTTAAGTGAGATCTGTCGTTTGACACGACACCGCAAGTGTTTCTTTAAAATTTCTTAGAAAATTTTCATCTTATCTTTAAAAAATTATTGATCATAATCTTTCATTACATTTTGTTAATTCCGGCATTTGACAAATTATTTCATTTAAACAGACATTAGATGCAATTTTTATATCAAAATAATTTTCATTTATTTTTTTGTAGTTTTTTAAATATATTTTTTACATAAAAATGTGATTGGGCGATATATTTCTTTCTTCATATGAATAAAAGCATTAAAATGATTTATAAAAGAATTTAAACACACAAACGAACAACAACAAAAAAAATTAATAAATTAATAAAAAACGAAGAACAATAATAGATTAAGAACTCATCCCACGTTTGTATTCAATAATTTAAAATAATTTGGAATAAATGTTTCGAACGGAAGAAGAGAAGCGTAAATAAATGAAAAAAAAAAAAAATAAATAAATAAATAAAAATAAAATTCATTTCGAAATGTGTGCATAACGTGGGCGTAGCTTCGTTGTCTCTTTTGTTTTCTTAATTTTCTGTAAATATATTAACAGATTTTGAACATGTGTCCTTACATACGTTCTCTTCTTCCTTAGTGAACGTTTATATTTAATTTCTTCGCTTAAGCTGAAACATCTTGTTGTATTGCACTTGATCCACTTAAGCAATTCATGCATTTATAAAATAAATTTAAGAAAATACATTTGCTGAATATAAGGAGCATTTTTTTTTTTTTTTTTTGATAACTAACCCATTAAAACTTTAAAATCCCTGCAGCTCATCCAAGGCCTTCGCTATTATTATTAAGATTTATTAAATTTTATTAACCTCTAATAAGAATTATTGTTGCTTTCCAAAGGTGAGAGCATCAGCTTGGCAGTAAACTTAAATAAGCTTTTAGCTAAGTAAATAAGTAAATTAAGCGAAAAAATATACATTTTGGAATGATTTTTATTCCATTGTTGCCATCATGTCAATCGAAAGCATCAATAGAACTGAAATCAATTGAAATTTTTTTAAGGTTTTTTAATATTCCTTAAGAGAGAGAGGGAGAGACAGAAAGAGAGAGATATTTTCTGGATAGTCTTATCGGGAAATTTCTTCAAATACGTTCTTAATATTATTCTTCACACGTGCACGTCCGCATTAGATCTTTTATCTCTGCAGAAAACACTGTAAAGTTTGTAAATCTTGTTAGAAATGAACGGAATAATGGACTGATGAACGAACTCGCCAGCTGAGCAGAAAAAAGACTGGACAGGTAAAGTGATATACGAAATAACACAACGATGGATAAGCGGACTGAATGTAGACGAACAGATAGGCTGGAGGGATAGGTAGACGGATAGAGAAACAATGTAATGCGTGACCTGAGAGAGTAATGCATTGACAGAAAGAGCGATCCATTGGCGTGCGCGATGATGATGCAGATGAACTCGAATAACAGGACAGTTAAGCCCTCATGTTTTTGTTAATTACGCCTGCATGAAAGAAGCTTGCAAGAAAGCTTGCGATTTTTCGGGCTTCGCATGATCTGTCTAGCTTGTCGTCCACTGTCGTATTAACGTAAAATTTCAGATTTCTCTTTCTCTATTCTTGCAAATACAGAATACAAATAATTATAAACAAAATGTCGTTAATTTTATACTAAATCCTTCTCTTCTTTTATTTATTTGCAGGTAAAGTAAAACCGAAAACAAAGGTTACATTTCCAGCATCACAGGTAACTATTTTTTTGAAAATTTTATATGATTTTTTTTTTTTTTTTAAAGACATTTTTTGATTTGATGGATAGACACGTTTCGTTTAAAAATCATTTTTTAAACATTTACTATTTTTGAAAAAAGAGAAAATAAACATTTCAAGGTTCTCTTCATTTATTAACAATTAAATCCTATTATATTGAAATATTGAAGTAAGTGAAAATGTTCTCTCGTTTTGTGTATCTCAAAAACAAAACAAACAAACACGTTAAGACGAACTCAAGCCCACTAAATATTTATTAGTTCGTTGAAAGATTATAAGAAAAATGCTAACATTTTCAGTCAAAACATTACTTAAATCGATGCAAAAGGTTATCAAAACGAAATACTGTTAAAAAAATATTCTTTCGGATTAACACTGACTGACATGCGAAGCATATTTATATAGGTAGGGAAAAAAGTGTGTTCAATTTGTACGGGGAATGAACAAGAAGAAGAAGAAGAAGAAGAAGTGAAAAGAAAACGCCATGTATTCAATGTTATGTTTACAAATTTACTTTGTTCAGAAATGCGTTTAGAGAAATGACTTTGCGAAAATTATTCATTCCTAAGAAATTTTGCTAAAGAATTTTTCTTTGGGTTTTCCTTTTCTTTTTTTTGTTTGGTTTTTCTATCTTAGAAAAGAACTGCTGCTGCATGCATGTCACATAATAAAGTCTCATAAAAGATGAAAATGTATACGACTGAGAAGAGTATGCACGCGTTTATGTGTGTGTATGTGCGTGCAATGCACATACGTTTGCATGTAAATACTTGTTGTACTCGTATTTGCTGACAGTTAACACAACGTAATCCTTTTATGAGTTGTCTTTATATAAACGCACAGATAGATATTCGTATCACTATGTGAGTGAGTGAGTGCGTGCATGCGTGCGTGCGTGCGTGCGTGCGTTTATGCATTTCTTGATTCTTATTTAAATATCGCAAAACGCATATAAAAAGATATTTTAATCATATATTACGTAGGTAGATCTTTTTTTCTTTTCTTTTCTTTCCTTTTTGTTTTTTTGTTATCATGAAAGACAAGCGTAGGCGTGCAGTGCAAGGGAAACGAAATCACAAAGAAACGTAAGAAAGCAGATGTATGAGAAGGAGGGAGGACTACTGCGTAGTAAGTCGTGGTGAAAGCCGCCTTCGACATACCAAAGCGGACAGGTCTAGTAGAGGGCTACATTTTTGTTGTACCTACTGTACTATATAAAGAATTTTTATTGAATGTAGGAGGAGGAGACCGACGACTTTTTCTCTTGCAGACATTTTCAAAAATTAAATGATATTTTTTAATGAATATAAAAATTTACAAAAGAAACAGAAAGAAACTTATGAACAGTCCAGAGCTCTATAAGAATAATCATAATAATTAATAAACTGAACGGGAAAAAAAGAAAGCTGCTGTCATGTACTTTCATAAGTACATGATTTTCGCAACGATGGAAATCGTCGCAAAGAAGTTAAAGGGTGGGTGGATATATGATATATAAAAAAGAAAAACGAAGACTTTAAAAGTTAGTTACACGAACTGAGAAGCTTTGCAATTTTCCCGAACAGAACAAATGCTGATCTGCTTTGAGAGAACAAATGCTGTTCCGTCGGTTTACATGATAAACATTTAAGTAAAAATTTTGTAATCAATAGTTGACCTTGGACGACAGGGAAGATAGAAATAGAAAGGCTGGAACTACTACTATTACTACCTATAACTTTAGATAGGCGAGGTTGTTTATCTTGTCAAGCTAATTTATTTACAAAAAAAGATCCACAGGACACGTACTCCTTTTCAAAAGAAAGTTCTCTTCATCTTGTTATATTTGAAACATTTAATACATTTTTCTTACAATTACTTGCGATTTCTGAAATCTGATTAGATAAATTTTATATAAGTGCAATCAGAATATAATATTGCACATACAATAAACGTTTTAGTATCTACGTCATATTCGCAAACCCGTCAATCAACCAACTCGCTGGCTATGATATGTCCAGTTAAATTTGCTTTTACGGCCTACGATACGGCTTGCTAAAGTTCGATACGCCCCTCTACACAAAACAAAACAATAATAACATATTCCGGAGAGAAAATCCATAAATTACATAATAATAAACAATTTGTTTTTTGCAATAATTTCTTCTCATATCTCCTTTACAATTATTTTCCAAATTTTTCTTACACTCGCGATAGCGAAAGAGTGGAAGTGCTGAAGAAGTCTTTGTAACCATCCAATAAGATTGCTGCTGTACGAATTTTATACTTTTATACTTTTATACTTTCGGGGGTTTTCTTCCCTTATAATTATTCAAATATTCAAACGGCCAATAAAAATTCCAAATACAGCCGCGCCAAGCCTGCCGGTTTAAGGATAAAGTGAAATGTATATTCTCTGGCCGAGAATACGAGATCTCTTTTGGACTCTTTCTACAAATATAAGATCAAGTTAAGCTAAACTGATCAGTTTAGGCGCCATGAAGATAATTTAAAATTTTAAATCAATTTATGTTTATCGTGCCACCGATGGTATGCAATATTTGCATAGTCTTATTCACACAGGCGTCGTAAGTCACACGACAAATTTTGTTTAAAGCTTACGTGGCTTAGCGGCCTTAATTCGTAACGATATTAATACTGAAATGTTTTATTTTGACTATCGAGGTTACTATGACAGGAAAAGGCGCATTGTTTTTCCTAATGGCTAGTGACCGATCACAGTAAAATATTTCTTTTCTTTTTATTACATTCTTGGTCTCTATACGAAATTTATACTTGTTCGAATTCGATTTTAAAAAAATGTTAAAACTTTTGATTTAAGATCAAGTAATGGGCGTAAAATGTGTAATCCTGGTATAAAGAAGTTAATATAATTTTCACTTAATTAACATAAATTCAATAAGAAAACGACGGGTACAATATTTTCCCTTGAAATATCTATATATCATCCTATAGCTTAACATAATACAATGTTGTTGGTTTATTCGTAGTTTATGGTACGAATATACCTGAGCGCATATCTATTCAAGAATTTATTTTTATATTTACAACACAATTAGATAAACGATTTGTTTTGTTAATCGAGTTAAAAACATTACAAAATTACAAATGAAATGCAAAAGTCTTTTAAACTCTTAATCATTACCAACCGTCGTAAATAACAAAATTAATTTAAGTGTTCTAAGCAACGAAACGGCCTTTGTTTCTGCTATTTATTTATTCATTTTTTTTTTTTTTTTTTTTGCATCGGTGTGCAATTGCGTAGCAAATGAAGTATGAAAATCACATTTTATCTAAAATTAACAAACAACTACTACCACTGCTGCTGCTGCTGCTGCTGAGACACGCACTCAAACAAGCAACGTTGGTTTATTTCATTTCTTTGATTGTTTTGCGTTATGAAATATCCTTTGAAAGGTCTTAGAGGTAACTATATTAGTTTTGACTGCAATTATGGATTACCTTGTAAGCTAAATGGCTTAACATTCGTTAGTATTTAAGTATTTAAATGGCTTTAAGACCTTAAACGAACATAAACAGAAAGAAAAAGACAACGTTGGTTTTTAACAATTTTACGATTACGGCAAAGTAAGTATAAAGGACTCCCCGTACATTTATCAGTAAACAGGAAAAAAAGGAAAGACAGAATAAAATTATAAATGTAGGTAAACGTAAGTATGAGAGCTGATGAGAAATTGTTCACAGCCAGCGTGTAAACAAAAAATCTTAGAAAAGCCAAAGACTACGAACGAGACCTCAAGGGGAGGTATCATGTCTAGCATAAAAAAAAAAATAAAAATACAACAACCATTGACATTTATTTCCATTTATTGCAGCTAATAAAATCATTTATTACTCAAAATCTTAACGGATATAGTTAGAAATATGTAATTAAAATAAAACACCGTCGGGTTTATTTGTGGAAAAACAATTTTCATTTCAATTTATTTACAAAAAAAAAATTAATTAAATCCTTCCTTTTTGGTTTTCGTAAAACGCTTGCTTTGCGTGGCTGTAATTAAAAATGAACGAAATTTTTTATTGCGTTTCTTTGCTCGCAACCGTAAACACCGTAAATTTAAGCACTTGTTCGGATTTTACGGGCATTTTTTTGGGAAAAAAATTTCAAATCAAGAAATAACGCACTTAGCAGCACTGAGTATGATTCGGAAAAATAAATGCGTGAAAGCAAACCAACAAAGAATTGAGTCAAAATATATAAATTCGCCGCAAACTCTTAAACGTAGTCGAAAGAGAAATCTTTAAAGACTGAGTTAAAGAGCTTTAATATGTAATGGCTTACCATTACTCTTAAGTAAAAATGTATAAAGAAAGAGTGTTACGCGTAAAAAGAGAACACAATGAGAATAGTATTATTTCTCTGAAAATATTGAATAATCCATTAATTTCTATTATTAAAAAATATTTTAAAAAAATATTCAATTAAAAAGAAGAAAAAAGTTATCAAGTCTTCAAAGAATTAATATTCTTAAAATAATCAGTTTAAGCTTCTCTTATATGTCAAATCAGCTGTTATTTGTATACATTTTCGTTATTCTTGTTGTTCTTCCGTTTTTAAATACTCTTAAATTAATTCTTATTCTCTTCTTTCGATTATTTGCTTATACCTCTATTATAACCTAAGCGCTATCTCTCTTTATCTTTTTTATACAATATAGTTATCTCGTTTTGTCTATATTTATTTCCGACTCGTTGTTGTGATATATGCGGCAATAACAAAAACAAACCATAAAACTTGACGGCAAACACGTGTGTGCGTAATAAAATGACATCAATTTACTCTGCCATAATAAAAGAGAATTATATGAATGTAAAAGCAAAAAATAAAGCACGCACATGCATGCAATTCTGTATAACGGCCTTGTAGAGCACTATTGAGAATACTGAGAATACAAACCGTTAGAGATTTGAGAGAATGTGAGAGAGAAAAAGAAAGAGAAAGAGAGAGAGAGAGAG